AGGCTCATAGGTGCACAGCAGAGATGGCACTGAGGGCTTGTTAAAAACATTAGATAGTCTGTTATAAAAGTCTGTGAATTCAAAATTTAAACACAGGAGATGGACTAATTTGGGAATTCTGCAGATCTTTTAATTGATGATAGTGAAATGAGAGAGGTGTGATGTAACACCACATAGCCTTTTGTGTATGTCCCCATGCAGTTTAAGAAGCTTTATACTTTGTTATTCTTGCGTTACAGTGTACCTTCACTGCCAGCAGTACTTCTGTATACAGCCAGTTGTCACATGAAAGTGTGTGTGTGTTCTTTCTTTTGAAGGTGACCCAGGAGATTTCTGATCCAAGCAGAGTCTTCCGCCTCCTTGGATCTGACAGGTTGGTACAGATCCTAACACTTCAGATATGTCATCAGTAGAGGAAGTACAGCCACAGCCTACATTCCCTCCTCTTTTAAGCATCTCTGTTCTGTTATTAATTGTTTTGTTTGTTTTTTGGTATTATTTTTTGGTATAGCTATTTATTCATCCCATAATTCCCATGAAACCTGTCCCGCTAGTTTATGACCGTTATCCCTCAGGTGTGTTTTTCCATTACCTGGGAACCACCAAACAACCTTTTCACCCATAACGTTTTGAGCAGACAATTCTCATCTGTCACTGCACTCAGACATTTACTTTCAAGTGTGTTACTTTGGTTGTCCCTCATCAAATCGTCTTATTGATTTACTTTTAGGTAACACTGTAGTAAATTACGATTGCGCTCTCTGTGGTGACTGCTCTCAGCTGCAGATGAAGCAGGATGTGATTTTTAGACTCAGTCAAACAGAGCATGCTCAAACTGGAGGACGATCTCCCAGCAGCACCTCTCGTTCAGCGGTGACTCCTGATGGAGCCGCCCCGCCTTGTGGCACCAGAGCGAGGCCACTCTCTGCTGCCCAGCCCGCCATGTTTTATTCACCGCCGCCTGGGCACTGCCAGCCTGGTTTGAGTGTCTCTCCGCGCCTCTGTAATTTCATCTGATGGAACGGACAGTATAGACTACAGCTTCTCCGCTCAGCTGTCACCGCCACAAGGCCGATGGCATCTGAAGATGCACCCACTGCCGTCCTGATCTGGCCGTCATCTGACTGTTGATTACTTAACATGCACGACTCTGCACACTGAAACCACGAACATTATGCAGCACGTCGCTAATGTCAGTTTCACTGCAGTTCAGCCTTTTTTCTTTTCTTTTTTTTTTTTATCAGACTGTCAATAATCTGATCAAAGCTGTGGGTGAACGAAGTCGACCAGCTGTCTTCTCATTGTTTCTCTGCATTTTTCAAACTGATCTTTGAAGTGTTACACACATAAAATATGTATAATTTTCATCACTAAAAACATCAATTTTACCCATTTTTATCAATTAAAAAAACAAAACAGTAACATAAGATTAATGCTTCAGTGGGGAATCTACGTCTAGCTACACTATAACCCTTCTGAAATCTTACGGCATAATCTCATGTCCATTTTCAGGTCAATGTAATTGTGATTTGCCTGATCAGCACAATCAATTCCTCCTGTGCTGCTTCGCCACAGTTTTTGATTTATTAGTGACAGAATAATGGTCACTCCCTTAATATGAGAAATAATAATCACAGCATTAAAGTAAGGACTCACAAATGTCAGCAAATTTCTGAAACGACATCAGGAAGTCAAGGAATGTAGAACTTCAGGAACAAACATGAATATGAAAAAGTCCCTTCATTTTATTTCTATCATGACTGACACCACATATAAAACACCAGGACGCAACCACGTGGTAATTAACACGTAATGCACTAGCATAAATGCTAGCAACGTCAACCACTTATGTAGGTTATGTTGTAGGCTTTATATAGATTCCCAACAAATGTAAATCAGGGCTTTAGACCTTTTTTTTTTTTATCAGATTATGTGTGGGGAAAACAACGAGTGATAAGAAGAATCTTCCAGGATTTTAGATGATGAGGGAATGAGGGTTTAGTTGAAACACCTGGATCATGTTGCAGGGTTTTTGGAAAAGTGACTACTGGGAAGACACGTTGTTGTCAGAGCTGTGTAGACGAGAGGAAGTGATCGAAGTGGAAAATCAAGAGAGCAGCAGGGATTTCCAGTAAAAGCAAAGCGAGTGGGGAAAAATGGCTTCCTTGCATTAAATGACTGTTGTGTAAAGAAACAGGATATTATGTTTTTCTTACAAACTGCTGTTCCTGTGTTTCTGTTGCAGGGTGGTGGTCTTAGAGAGTCGACCGACCGACAACCCCACGGCCCTGAGCAACCTCTATATTTTAGCTGGTCACGAGAACAGTTACTGATCCTCAGCCAGTGACTTGCCAGGTCTTTGAAAAGTGGATAAGAGGCCTCACTTTTGGGAGAAAATGACACTCTTAGACCTGCGTTTCTGTTACGAGAATTGTCCGGTTTAAAAGCGTTTTTGGGAGCTTTTGTTACTGATCACGGGATCTGCAGGTCAGTAAAAGAGGAGCCTGGTCAGTTCGGATTCATACGTAGCCTTTCACCAGCAAGACGTTAACTGTAGCCTCCTTCATCTCAAACAATGCGAGGACTGTTACGAGCAGGAGGAGAAGCAGTAAAAGCTTGAATAATCATCATTACTTAGCGTTTTCCTCACTTTCCTGTACTGTGGACTGAGTTACAAACAAATTATCTAGAGGTATTATTACAAAAGTGCCATTAAAATTCACAAGAATTGTGATTGTATTAGGAAACCATGGGAGATTTGTTGTGTTATTGTCTGTCACTCATAATTACTGCCAGTGGCAAATGTTAGTAGGCTTGAGAGGAGATTTTACAAGCTCTGTAGTGAGAATAATAGATCAGTTGAAACAGAAACTCACAAGTGCTGTGGGTTATTTAAGCAATATTTATTAACCTCATCTTCCGTAAGAGGGTATGTTGGATTTATACACGGTGACGGAGCGGTCTGCTGTGTTAAAATTAACTACCTAAGCAGCTTTGGGTTATTTTTACTGCTCTGTAATATAGTTGCATCTCCTGCTCTGCTGCATTTTTTTTTTTTT